GGAGATCCTAAGATTCTTCTGAGCCCCATCCCATCTCACCTCATTTGTGTCCAGGGAAACAGTCTTGGATCATGACTCAGCAACAACTTCGAGGAGTGACCAGCCTTCGTTTCAACCAAGATCAGAGTAAGAAGCTATGTCTGTACCCTAATGGGAAGGAGGGGAGGGAGCTATGTCTGTACCCTAATGGGAAAGAGGAAAAGCCACCTGTCATTACCACCTCCCATCCCCTGAGGCAGTCCTGACTCCTCCCATCCCCCAGGCTGTTTTTGCTGTGCCATGGAGTCCGGTGTACGCATCTACAATGTGGAGCCATTGATGGAAAAGGGCCATCTAGGTGAGCCATTGGAGGGGAGAGACTCGGAGCAGAAGGGCCTGGCTGGGCATTGGCTCCCACTCCCACTGACACCCAGGTCTCTCCCCAGACCATGAACAGGTGGGCAGCATGGGTCTGGTGGAAATGCTGCACCGTTCCAACCTGCTGGCCTTGGTAGGCGGAGGAAGCAGTCCCAAGTTCTCAGAGATCTCAGGTAAGTCCTCTCATTCTGCCCTTGGCCCACATTCCCCAGATGCCTGGCCTCCCACAGGCACCCTGAGGCACTGGTAGATGACAGTGTTAGAGCATCTCAGAGTCCACAAGGCCTGCAGCTGGAGAAGCTTAGTGTTTTATTTATATTTTAGCAAACAATTGAATGCCTACTCTGCTGTATCCGTACCTTTACTGTACGTATCCTGAGCCTAGTACTGTTTTAAGCACTTCACATGTATTAACTCCTTTGGTCTTGATAATCCTATATGGTAGGAAGTATCATTATCCCCAGGGAGTGAGGTGGTTCTCCATATGATAAGCACTGGATTGTGAACCACAAGGGCCTGGGTTCCAGCCCTCCAGCCACTCTGCATGAGAAAGATGAGGCTTTCTGTTCCCATGATGATCCAAAGCCTTGGAAACTCTATACAGGGTCACTACAAGTCGGGAACCGACTCTATGGCACTTAATAACAATAATCATCATTATCCCATTTTTACAGACAAGGAAGCTGAGGCCCAGAGAGGTTAAGTAAATGGGTCAAGGTCATACAAAGAATAGGTTTTAAAATCTTGGAGCCATCTCCCTAACAGTTGCTTGCCTTGAGCCTCAAGCACCATCTTGTTTTAAGGGTTTTTCTCTTTGGGTCTCACTGGAACATAGCAAGAGTCCACCCTAGGTGAGTCACAGAGCCCTAGGATTCTTCACAGAAATCTGGAGGTATGGACTATAAGCTTGGAGACAGAAATAGTTACTGCAGGGGAGTTACAGCCCTGGGTGTCAGTCTCCGTTTGGTTACTGAGGGGCTGTGAGATCCTTTTCCAAACATTCAACTCCTTCAAGCCTCAGTTTCCACATCTGTAAAGGGGTGTAACTATTCTAGAACTGGTTTTCTCAGGGGTCATGTCCATAAGTGGTTATCTATCTGGGACTCACATTGGGTGTTTAGTGAAAGGTTTAACAGGTGGGTTGAGACCCCACAGGGAGTAGGGGTGGGTGGGTCCTGTATTACCAGGGTTTCCCCTCACCTTCAACCCTGGCCTCCAACAACCTCCCCACCTGCACAGCAGTGCTGATCTGGGATGATGCCCGGGAAGGCAAGGACTCCAAGGACAAGCTGGTGCTGGAATTCACCTTCACCAAGCCTGTGCTGGCTGTGCGCATGCGCCATGACAAGTGAGCCTGGGGAGAACAGGGAAATGGAGGGAGGTGGTAAGAGGTCCCCATAGCAGGTGTGACGGTTAGTCCATCCTGAACAACCTTCTCTACCATCTTGGCCATCTTGTGCTCGTGTTGTGTGATGCCCACAGGATTGTGATCGTGCTGAGGAACCGCATCTATGTGTACTCCTTCCCTGACAATCCCCGAAAGCTGTTTGAGTTTGACACCCGGGACAACCCCAAGGGTGAGAGGACCCAGACATTAAGGTGTAAGGGTGGAAGGTAGTGGGCTGGCAGAGGTACCGAGATGAAGAGAGAAAGGAATGGACACACAAATACTGGGAAGGAGGGTCAGGGAGAAAGTCTTTGGACTGAGAGATGAGAGTTACTCACACCCCTAGTCTATCTAGCTTTCATCCCTCAGCCAGTTGTCTTTCCTCATCCTTGCCCCTACCCCCCTTCCCTGGTTGCACATGGTGGTGGTGCAAAAGGACATGGGTGGGGGTATCAGCTTCTGGAGTTGTCATAGAAACATATTAGAATCTACAGTTGCATGGGGAAGAAGAGGATTTGTGTAGCTGAAGAGCGTATAGCTGAGGCACAGCCGCTGAGGGTTCTATATGTAACATGTATCATGGAAGGTCAAAGTCTGGCCTTTATCTAGCTCTGTCCATTTGAAGACTCTGTCCCATTGCCTCCCCTTTACCAGCCCACCCTCTTACTTCATTCTCACACCCTAGGGCTCTGTGACCTCTGCCCCAGCCTGGAGAAGCAACTGTTAGTGTTCCCTGGACACAAGTGCGGGAGTCTGCAGCTTGTGGTGAGCTGTCCAGTGGGAGGTGGGTGGGCTGGCTCTCCTATATTCGTGTTTCTCCTCTCCCTACCACCCAGTGCCCAAGCACTCCCTTCTACCCCAGGACCTGGCGAGCACCAAGCCTGGAACTTCATCTGCTCCGTTTACCATCAACGCACATCAGAGTGACATTGCCTGTGTGTCGCTAAACCAGCCAGGCACTGTAGTGGCTTCAGCCTCCCAGAAGGGTACCCTTATTCGCCTTTTTGACACACAGTCCAAGGAGAAACTGGTGGAACTGCGCCGAGGCACTGACCCTGCCACCCTTTATTGGTGAGAACAGGGTATGTATGGTAGCCTGGTGACCACATACCACGTGCTGTGTGAGCATCACACTGTTGGTCCCTCTTCCAGCATCAACTTCAGCCATGACTCCTCCTTCCTCTGCGCTTCCAGTGATAAGGGCACTGTCCATATCTTTGCTCTCAAGGACACCCGCCTCAACCGTCGCTCTGCGTGAGTACATTCTGTCCTACCTTGCCTTGTCCCCATCCTCCTACCCCTATACCATACCTTGGCCAGTACTTAACCAGTGCTGCCTGTAGGCTGGCTCGTGTGGGCAAGGTGGGACCTATGATCGGACAGTACGTGGACTCTCAATGGAGCCTGGCAAGTTTCACTGTGCCTGCTGAGTCAGCCTGCATCTGCGCCTTCGGTCGTAATACTTCCAAGAATGTCAACTCTGTCATTGGTGAGTGGAATTAGTACCTTGGTGGGAGTCCTACATGGGCAAAGGCCTGAGTTGGAACTGAAAGAATTCAAGGGCCATGGGAAGCCTAAGGGAACTGGTATGTGTGGCTCAACTCCATCATCAATAAAGAGGATGACGCATGGGCAAAGGCCTGGAGGTAGAAGACCCTAGGCCTGAGAAGATTGGAGTGTGTGGCTGTGACATCCTAATGTTTTACTGCTCTTTTCCCCCTCCTCTAGCCATCTGTGTAGATGGGACCTTCCACAAATATGTCTTCACTCCTGATGGAAACTGCAACAGGGAGGCATTCGACGTGTACCTTGACATCTGTGATGACGATGACTTTTGAGGACCCTGGGGCCTGTGCTGGGGCCTGCAGTGGCAGCTTACAGAGCTGAGCCCTTGGGGAGGGGGTGTTATGGAAGCACAGCCAGCAAACATTGATGGGGGGTGGTCTTCACCTTCCACGCAGTAGAGCTCTATCTAAATAAACAGTTCACTCACTTCCCCAAGCATGTCTTCCTGACTGTGTGCCTGCGGGGTCAGGCCAGGGAAGCAGCCACTCCCCAGGCTCTTAGCTTGGAGAAGACTTCCAGGGACCCAGAGAGAGGATCCTAATCCAGCCTGAGGGGATTAAAGACCTCCCAGAAAGAGATAATCTCTGATGTGATGAATATAAATTTACAAACAAAACCTTACTGCTTTCATTCCCACCTATAGTGATGTGGAACTGACCTATAGGGTTTTCAAATCCAAGGCTTTATGTAGTCCTTAAGGAGCTCTGGTAGCATAGTGGTTAGGAATCAGGCTGCAAACCGCAAGGTCAGCAATTTGAAACTACCAGCTGCTCCTCAGAAGAAAGATGAGGCTTTCTGCTCCCGTAAAGATTTATAGCCTCGGAAACCCTGTTCAGGGTTGCTATGGATTGGAACCTACTTGACGGCACTTAACAACAACAACAACATGTAGTCTTTAAGGAGCTCTGGTAGTGTAGTGGTTACGAATCGGGCTGCTAACCTCATCATCAGCAGTTTGCAACTACCAGCTGTTCGGTGGGAGAAAGATGAGGCTTTCTGCTCTCATAAAGATTTACAGCCCCGGAAACCCTGTACAGGGTCGCTATGAGTCGGAACAAACTCTAAGGCACATAACAACAACAACATGTAGTGTTTACGGGAGCAAACTGCCACATCTTAATCCTGCAGAATGGCTGGTGGGTTCAAACTGCCCAGTTTTTCCCTAGCAGCCAAGTGCTTTAACTACTGAGCACCAGGCTTCTGTTTAAAAAACAAAACCAAAAAACACTTTTTGACATTTTGGTGTGATGAGGAGGAGTGGTGGCTGAAAGTGCCCTGAGGGAGTTTCCAGGAGTTGAGATCCTTCAGGGAGTGGTATCAAATTCCCTTCCTTTTGGCAATCTTATCTCTGCAAGTCAGGCTGCCCTATAGTGGAGCTGCCAGCACCGTCTGAAGCAGGCCATATCCTTCAGCCCACCAAGGTGTCCTGCTTAAGGGTGGGTGGAGACTTGAAGGGATGAGAGAGTCTCGCCTTTTGGCGGAGGCTTGATTTCCCAGCGGCCCCTGCTGCTCTACTGTCTGCCTGTTGTTTGCATTTCTGGTCACGTGTGCTGCCACCGCTGCGCAATCCAATTAGGTGGTTAGGATAATAAACCTGGCAAGGATTCTATATCCGGGTCCCTTATGGAGGCGGTGGCGCGGGGTGTACCGGGTGTTGTAGTTCAACTACCAGTCTGGTCCAGCAACACTGAGCTGCAGGATGTCGGTGGTGCGGCTGCCGCCGCTACGCACCCTAGACGACTTTGTTCTGGGCTCCGCGCGCTTAGCAGCCCCTGATCTTGGTGACCGACAGCGATGGTGCCACCGCGTCATCAACAACCTCCTCTATTATCAAACCAACTACTTAATCTGCTTGGGCTTGGGTCTTGCTCTGGCCGGGTGAGTGAAGGAAGTGCGGGTGGCTTCCAGTTGGCCAGGGACGCCTGCAGGATGTGCAGGGTGGACGGGAGTGGGGTGGCGTGTCATTCAGGACTAGAAGAGGGTCCCTGAGTTGTGTGCAAGGCTTGGGAAGGTGAATCCAGTAGAGATGGAAGACTTGAGGATATCCGAGGGTTGCGAAAAGCGAGACTTGAGGAAATGGAGCCTGGTTAAGGAAGTCTTGAGGGGGATGGAGCCTGGTTATGTCTGGTGCGGAGGATGAGGAGTCCCTGGATGGCGCAGAATTAATGGGATTTGGCTGCTAACCGAAAGGTTGCTAGTTGAAATTCACCCAGATGCGCTTAGGAAGAAAGGCTTGATAATCTACTTCAGGAAAATCAGCCATTGAAAACCCTACGGAGCACAGTTCTACTCTGACACACACATGGGGTTTTAGCTTGGAGAATGCAGGGTCTGCAGGGGCAACTCAGGGATGATGGGAAAGTGGTGAAGGGGATAGAGGGCTGGAAAGTGGGGAGCTGAGGATAAGGAGGGACTGAAAGGGATATGAGAGTGCCTGCAAGAGGGTTGGGGATGCTGGTGGTTTTGAGTAATTGTGGGTGATTAAGATAGTTTTGGAGGACTTAGGTAGAAGCCCTGGTGTTGCTGTGGTTAAGCACTCAGCTGCTAACCTAAAGGTCAGCGTTCAACCCACCTGACCTTTCATAAATAATTGCAGCCTTGGAAACACCGTGGAGTAAGTAGTTCTAAATCTACTCTGCCCTGTGGGGTCACTATGAGTCCGAACTGACTGGGAAGAGCAATGGGTTTGGCTTGGAGGACTCCGGGCAGGGAAAGGAATAGGATGTGGTAAAGTTAACGGATTTGGAGGGTGCACTTATGCAAGTTCTGTGCTTGGAGGGGAGCCTGGCAGTGATTGAAATGTGCAGGGAACAGGTGATGGTTACCTGTTAGGAAACTTGGGTCCAAAGAGAGGACTTGGACAAGGTTGGAAGTCCTAAGTAGATCTGAAGACCTGGAAGGAGTTCTAGCAATGATGGAGGGAAGAATCTATAGGGAAACGGGAAGTCTGGAAGGGGGCCCTGTAAGGACCGTGGACCTGAAGAGAGACACAAGGCTTGGAAGAGGGGTTTGAAAGGACTGGGCCCAAAGGGGAAATTTGAGGGCAGGTTGGAGAGGGCCTGAGAAGGAGCCCGGTGGGAGTAGGATCAGAAGGAAAGACCGGAGAGAAGGGGTTAAGAAGCCCATGGGTTTAGCGGGATGGGACAGTAGGATTGACACGAAGGAAATGGGAGAGCCTAGGGACCCTGAGAATTGGAAGTCCTAGAGGGTGAACCTATTGGAGACGTGGTTGGCAGAAGGGCCCAGAGAGGGGGACCAAAGCTCTTCTGAACCCAGGATTGGGTGTATGGTGGGCTGGAAGGCTCTCTCCACCTGCCCAGCTAGTTGTGTTCCCTTGTCCCTGCAGGTACGTGCGCCCGCTGCATATGCTCCTAAGTGCACTGGTAGTAGCTGTGGCGCTGGGAGTGCTGGTGTGGGCGGCTGAAACCCGAGCGGCTGTGCGCCGTTGCCGCCGCAGCCACCCCGCCGCCTGCCTGGCCGCAGTGCTTGCCGTCGGCCTCCTTGTTCTCTGGGCGGTTGGAGGCGCTTGCACCTTCCTGCTCAGCATCGCGGGGCCAGTGCTTTGTGAGTCTCTACCCTGGGATATACTGGGAAATGGCCAGTGCAAGCACTTGGTGCCAGGCCCACCCTGCCCTTGTTCTTGGGCATGGACACACTCCTGTCGCAAAGTGACTTCTCTGGCATTGCTTTTTCTGGGAACGCCCCACTCACCACATCCTAGTTACTGTTGTGTACCGTCCCCCACCACCAACTCCCTTCCCCCCGACAAGCTTTGGAGGCTTCCTGGCCAGTCACCACACAATTGGCCAACCTGCATCCCAATTCCATTATGGGCCCCGATTAGCTGCAGGCTAACAGCCCCTCCCCCCATCTCTGATCCCACTCCTCTTGGTACCGCCCACAGTGATCCTGGTGCACGCTTCACTGCGCCTGCGCAACCTCAAGAACAAGCTTGAGAATAACTTGGAGAGCATTGGTCTCAAGCGGACGCCAATGGGGCTGCTACTAGAGGCGCTGGGACAAGAGCAGGAGGCTGGATCCTAAGGGTCTGGGATCCGTACCCTGGACCTGACCAGAGAGTATTCTCAGAGCACTTTCCCAGTCCTTGCCCGGTCAAGAAAGCAGGAAATCCGAATTCTACCACTCCCTAGGAACAAAACTGCCCCCCCCCGCCCTGAATCTGGGACCCGGCCACAGCCACCCAAATCCCGAAATTCAGGACCCAGAGGCATTCCCCTCACTCAAATTTGAATCTGCCCTTCCAATTCTCAGCCCCAAAGCTCAGATCTGGAACTAAAGATTTGAATTCCATCAAATCTTGAACCCAGGACCACCAAGGCTTTTCCACAAGGCTCGGGACTCAGGTCAAGGCATTACCAAATCTTGAACCCAAGACCCATTTGGGTATAGGGTTCAAGCATCCTAACCCTGTTGAACCCTTGGTCCCAGGTTGGTTCATAACCCTTCACCTCCCTCCAGCTCTCCTTAGGGATCCTACCCCTCCCCACAATGTTCCACAGTAGTGAGGACCAAGGGGTGGGATGGGGATAGGCCCCTGCTAGGAATGGGACATATATATCAGTGTTGCTGCAACAATAAAAGCTTTTGTGTCGCTCAGCCAATTTTATCTCCTGGGTAAGAGAGTCCTTGAACATTTCAGCGGACAGAAGTTAGCCAGTTTTTTCCTTCTATTAGAAACTCTTCCTGACAGGGTTTCAGTTTCTATCAAACACTAGGGGACTTCCAAAATAGTCATGAAAAATTGCTATCTTTCTAGTCCCATTTTTCCGTAACTTTTTGAAGCCCCCCTTGTATGTGGGTTAAAGGGATGATCTCAAAGGCCTTTTCTCACATTTACTGCTTCTGAAGAGGCACTGCATGACACAGTTAAGGCATGAAATGTTTACTTATCACTGTATTATTAAGGGTGGTTCTTTGGGGTTGGCTAGGAATATGATAGAGAGGCAAAGAAGCTCCATATCAAAGCAAGTAAAGCAAAACAGGTGTTATTATAAGCTGTTTCCACAGTGTTATATATATTTTTCCTGTAAAAATACTTTTAAAATGGTCTGCTCTTAGTTAAGGCATGGGCCCCAAGGCAGGACAGATGAGGAGCCACACATGGGTTCAGTTTACACATTTATTATAGAAATCCCCTTCCAGTGTGGGTAATGTCTTGGGCCCAGATCCACTGGTACAAAAAGAAAAGTTTAACACCCAGTTAAGGGGGTAGTGGGACCCCCCAGCTCCAGAAAAATCACAGAGATAGAAAACACAGCTTGTATGTATTTGTTTAAAAAGTGGGTGGAAGGAAAGCCAAGGAAGAGGTGGCGTGGCCTATGGCCAGATGTCACCTGAGGATTTTACTGACATCTACCAGGTGCCAGGTTCAACCACTGTAGCATCTCCACACACACAACATACTCTGGGTTGACTCTGCCCCTTCTCCCTCAGGGGCCTCCTGACTGAGAATAGTCAGGGCAGGAGCTGCCACTAAAGGCTGGACCATCTTGCCAGTGTGGGCAGAGGCAGTGGGCACGGACAGGTAGAAACGGGCAACTTCAGGCACTCCCGGTTGTGGGAAAATGAACCTAAGCCACCTACTCAGACCAATCCTTCCAAGTGTGGCCAGAGAGCCCATTTCTCCATGAACTGCCCTGGTGAGGGGGCAGGGCAGGAAGTCGCCTGGCTGCCCAGAGCTGGGCTGGACACCCTATGTAGTCCATTTCATGAAAGGGGTTCCTGAATGGGCCAGGGGACAGGAATGAAGCCAATCAGGACAAGATCACAGTTTCCCTTTATAAAATGTCTAGTTTTAGTGATAGGGGAAGACAGTGAACACCTAAATCACAACTGTAAACAGAAACGGAGGAGGGGCTTGGAGTCCCCACTACATCATTCTCCCTCTTTTAAGCTGACTGAGGTCCCCTAGCCCCCAGCACAGTGTGAAAGGAGAAGTAGGGTGTCAGATACCTTCCTAGGCCCACAGGGAGTCAGAGGCCTTGGAAGGTCAGCATGGTGCCCAGGACTGAGACCACCACCACACCCCAGGGCTCAGTGAGGTCAGGTGTGTGCTCCCCAGATGGCAGTCATGCCCAGAACAACAAAGGGCCTATCAGAAGGTCAGACCAGTGTCCCTGGGGTCTGGGGGTCAGAACTGGAGGACTGCTCCCCCTCTAACGTCAGGTCACTTAAACGAGTGCTCAGCTCCGGGGGGTACAGGAAGTCCGCGTAGTATCTTTAGAAGGGGTAGCAGGAATCCGGAGGATAGGTTGAAGAAGATGGAGAAAAGAGGAAGACAGACAGGACGACACAGAGAAAGGAAAAGAGGCTCGTTAAAGAAGTGGAGGCAGGCACAGGACAGAGCACCTTCAGGGTCCCAAGCATGGGACAAGAGCAGAGGAAGAGAAAGGTGGTGGGCACAGGATGCTCCTTCCTCCCAGCACCCTGGTTTCAAGGCTCATTTTCAGCTGACATGCACTGGTTGTTAAACGACTAGAATTAACAAATTGCAACTACCAACACCCAAGATACTCCTCCACCGGGACCCTGTGGGCAAATGCAGGTCACCAACAGTACATGAACTAACTGGTTCCTTGAGGTCCAAGTCATTAGCTTCCGTGACTAGCTGCTCCCTGGCAGAGAACCCCTACCCATCAGTAAAAGCAGCCCCCATACCTGCTAGAGACAGGGGGCGCTGTGAAGCTCCTCGAGTGTGGGAGCGGTGCCTGGTTGGGGTTCCCGCACAGCACCTGGCCCACCTCATAGCAGCGGGCATGGAGGAAGGGTTGGTGTGGTGGGCCCATATGGGGGAGCACAGGCCGGCGCTGGGGCCCCGCAGCCAGTCCTGAGTTCCGGATGTACCAGTCCCGCAGCCCCTCCAGTGCAAGGTTCTTGTGGCCACTGCGCTCACCAGCCAGGGGGATACGGGTGGGTGGGGGCATCCACAACAGAGGGGTTGGATGCACCTCCAGACCCTCAGAGGCCTCAGGGGGCAGGCCACAGGGCTTGGTGCGGGTAGCACGGGCATGGGGATCCTTGCTGCGGAGGAGGGGGCTACTGCCGTCAGCTGCATATACAGGTGGTGAGCCTGGGAGCATGGTGAGGGGCCCATCCCTGCGGGAGAGGGGTCCTGGGACCTCAGCAGGAGGTAGCAGATCCCCCCAACTTGTCCCACCATTACTGCGGGGCAGGCCCCGTTCCAGGGAATAGTCCAAGAGGAAGTCCCCACATACAGGTGGGTGCCTGGGGACCCCTCGGGAGGCAGGGGCAGCCGAGCTGGGCCGCGCAGCCCGGGGAGGGTCTGGGGGACCAGCTGTGCGAGAGGAGAAGGCAGGGGCTGGTTGGGGGTGCTCATATAGCACCTCACTGCTCTTACAGACCGGGGGACCAGCAGCGGAGGGGTGTAGTGGAGCTGGAGGGGAGCCAGCACCCCCACCAGCTGCCCGGTCTACAAGCAGGGCCTCAGAGCTGTTACTGCGGCGGGTTCGAGCTGCGAAGAGGGAGGTGTGGTCGGAGGCAGGGTCTGTCCTGGGAAAGCCCATCTGGGAGTCCTGGCTGCCTGACCACTGTCGAGAATGGAGGCCTTCGGGTCTGGAAGCGCAAAGATGGGGGGAGGGCAGCGGGAGTAGCATGAAAAAAAATTAAACAGATGGGCTGAGTGCCCTCCCTATCCCATCTCTTTAAGTCTTCATTTCCAAATCTCCAAAATGGGTACAGGATTATAAATGTGTATGTGAGGTGTCAGTGGATATGTAACAGGTAGCGAAGATTCTGTCCCAGAGTTGGGGGCAGGGAGGTAGGAAGCAGCTGGTGGAGAGAGGGGCCTGAGGCCATTTAGCCCAGAGGGAGATGTAAAAATGTTCCTATAGGGTTGGAGAGGAAATAATAACTGAAGAGGGGCCTGACAGAGGACTCCTCTTCAGGGCTGCCTACAGCCACCAGAATGAACTCCTAATCCCTAGGCCTAGAGTTTAAGAGTCTACCTAATCTTGTCCTACAGTATGTATGAACCACCCCAAACTAGCATTCCCAACAGCTACTTTCACAAGTTGTAAGCTCTACAGGGACTGAGGTTCTGTGTCTTCATTGCTTGCGACAAACTAAGCACACATCGAATCTTGTTTTCTGGCAGACAGTAGGCCATATCAGCTATTAACTGCTGTGCCTACATGTTTCAAAGGCAGAAATTCTTATGTTCATTTCACCAATGAGACAGAAATTCAGAGAAGGGAAATTCCTTGTCCAAAATGCACAGAAAAGACCAGACTTGAACTTCAGTGCATCGGCTCCAATCCCCCACCCTCTTCTTCTCTTCCAGGACGACTCCTATTTCAACTTTCAAAGTTCAGCCTCCCATGTCCCACACCTTTGACTTGCCCCAACATCCCATGTTCAAACTAACTATTCCCTCCTCTCATCCTCTTACTTGCAGAGCTGGGGGCCAGCGCCCCGGGTGAGGACAGGGGTGGCAGGCACACTTCGCCCCTCAAAACTGGAGGCACTCCTGGGCAGTGAACGTGTGGGGCTAAACAGAGACAGGCAGGCCCAGTTGGGGCCCAGGTTAGAGACTGTATTCACCCGCAGGCCCTCCTGCCAGCCTAAGCTTGGGATCCCATTCCTGACTCATGGGGAAGGCAGGGTAGGGACTCTTCCTCACCTGGTGGGACTGGCCACAGAGTTCCGTCGGCTCTTCAGATCCCCATAAAGATCTGATGGGGGAGGTTTCCATGGGGCTCGTCGCTCAGGACTGCCTCCAGATACGGCCCGCAGCTGGTCCCAGGCCTTGGGTGGTGAGGGGCGTTCAGCCATAGGGAAACAGCCACGGGGCTCCTCTGAGTAGAAGGGATAAAGTAGGGGAGAAGTCAGTGATAGGGAACCCAGAGGAAGCAGGTCAGTTTGGGGGCAAAGTAAAAGGGAGGGGCTAGAGAAGTAGGGGAGGGTGAATGAAGTCAGCTGAGGAGGAGCTCAAGGACCAAGGAGGAAGGAAGGCAACCAGGAGAGGGGCGGGCAGCTGGGTAAGGACTAGAACTGAGGAGCAGGAGTGGGATGAAGCTAAGAAGATGGGGGGGTGCCCTCCAGAAGCTGTGGTATGGCTGAAGAGGAGTACGTGGAGATGAAGAAGTGAGAAGGGACTGTACATCAAAGGGTGGGCCATGGGACACAGGAAGGGGTTGGGCCGTGCCTGGGGAATAGGAGTCCTCACCATTATCATGGCTGGCCCCAGACTCTGAGAGGGAGCTGCTCTCTGAGTGTAGAACTACGTCCTCTACAGGTGAGAAGGGGGAGAACCGGGCCTAACAATCCAAGGCCTGGGTACCATCTCCTTACACCATTGGATGGACTCTACTTAGCAACACCTTTGGGGCGTGTCTCCTCCCCAACCTGTTTCCTTCCCAAGAATTCACCTTGACCTCAATCTGAAACCACCATATGCTTTGGGGTTCCTCACTTTCTTCATGCCTACTGGCTAGTTCACAATGGTACCTCCCCTCCCAGGAATCAACTTAGCTCAATTCTTCTTACGGGTTGGATCCCTTAAATTCAGTCTACCTCCCTGTCTTCATTGGCTGTTCTCCCACCCCTCCCCTACAAGTCCATTAGCCAGTGTCCACTCATTGAGCCCACTCTCCCACCTTCACTGGTGGAATGATGGGACCTGGCTCACCTTGGCTGAGCTGAGCAAGGCGTGTGCCCAGGCAGACTCCCTGGGCGGTGATAACTGACCCCGTGGACAGCGGCAGTGGCTGAGATGGTGGGAGCACTGGGAGGCCAAGGCAGGCCCGGACATCCCTGAGCTGCTCCTCTAGCTCGTGCAGCCTCCGCATTGCATCTGCCTGGACCTGGCGCCGGCGCCGGCACTGCTCGGCATTCAGCTCAGGGGCCAGGGCCAGGCGGCGGGCAGCTGCTGCAATCTGCTGTTGCACTGACACCTCCCGCTCCAGGGCCTCAAGAGCCAGCTCCTGTGGGGCCCACCCCAAAGCGGGGGGACAGGACCAAATGTTGGAAACAGCCAACCACCAGGAAAATCAGTGGTAGAGCCCATCTAGACTCGGGGTAGGCCTGCTCTCCCAGGGGGCTTAGCTTGTCCAAAGGTGGGCCTATTCTCTGAGGGATGGAGCTTATTCATCCTCTGAGGGCAGGGCCTATCTTGATTAGGGGTAGGCCTATTCATCTTCCTAGGAGTGGGAACCTTATCTTGACTGAGTTGGGGACCAGCAGCCTCTTGCGGGTAGGGTTTATCATGCCTAGAGGCAGGGCCTATCTTGGGGCTTGTTCCTCTACCTTTCCCTTGGGACTACTGCACCCCTTATATACAAAACCCACCTCCCTCAAACCCTTTTTTTTTGGTAATCTTAGTCTCTCCCTGCTTTGTACTCAAGTCCCACTCAGCCTTTGTTTTCCTCCTCCTCTATACCTGTTTCCCCACACCACCTTGCTTTCCAAGCTCACTCACTTCAGCAGAGCAGAGAGAGTGATGTGCTGGGTTGGGGTGCGATGGAGGATAGGTACGGGCTGCAGGGGGCCGCCGTCGGACCAGTTGGGGTCGTTCACCAGGCTCCAGGGGGCACTCTGGGGGCAGTTGGCCAGTTAGCTCCTGGGCGGGGTGGGGTGGAGGCGGGGGAAATTGGGGTTAGAGACTACCAAAGGTCAATTGGGAGAAAAGCAAACGCTAGAAGTCCTATTAGGAGCCCATCCCTGTTCAGCACATGTTATTTCTCTTCCTCCTCCCAAAATCTCCACCAGGCAGGTAGGCAATATAGACTCTTAGCCCCTCAGTGACCCAAATCCCTGGGGCACTGGGGACAAAGAGAATGGAGAGATTTGATTTGGAAGTGAAGATTTTTTATAAAAGCAACACAGCCTATGTATTGCATAGGTCTGGCACTGTGGGTTAATGCACTGGACTGCAAGATTGGTTTGAACCACAAGGCTGGCAATTCAAACTCACCAGCTACTCCTTGGAAACCCAATACAGGGTTGTTATGAGTCAGAACTTACTCGATAGCACTTAACAACAACAACACACTCCTACCACGGTCTGGAGCTGCATGCTCTAAACCACATTATTTCTGCCAAAGTATGTGGATATTCACACTAAATCTGTTATCAATGAATTTATTTCAACTCATAGCAACACTATATGGCACAGCAGAATTGCCCCATAGGGCTTTTAACGCTGTCTTCTGTATGGAAGCAGGCTGCCACAGCTTTTTCTGATAGGTTTGAACCACCAACCTTCTGATTAGCAGCATACCACTTAACCACTGCACCACACTGCATTATTTCTGGCAAACTGTGTGGGTATTCACACTCAGAGGGGTAAAGAGAAACTATAAATCACTCCATTGTCAGTTCAGATAGGCTCTGCTGCCAGATTTGGAAATAACTTTTCGTTTTTGGATTTCAGAATGGTAGAAAAAGGATTATGGGCCTACATGACCCATTTCATTGACTCTAAGACCGCTAAGCTTAGCTTTAATGAGCTAGAGGGTGACAGGGATCTACAATCACCACCCCAGTCTGCCCCACACCTTATACCCCACTCCTAGGACCAAGCTCTTACCGCTTCCTGGAAACACACTTTTCGTAACTCCTGAAGTTTCAGGCTCAGGGTCTCCTGCAAGACTCGTTGCCGATCAAGCAGCCCCCGCAAACGCTCTGACTTCACCTGGGGGGCAGCCTCTCCGAACAGGGTAGCTGGACACAGAGGGAGCAAAGATCAATGGAGCAGTCTGGGCATCCTGGAGCAGCTGTGGGGTCAGGGAACCCCTATCCCAAGCAGGTATGTAGTGGCTCAGAGCTGGGGAGGAGGCAGAAAGAGGGGGAACCAGCCACCGACCTAGGGCATTGAAGGTAGGAGAGCTGACCAGCTGACCTTTGACTTCCATCCTGGTGCTGTCGAGAGTCTGTGGTCGATGGCTGGACAAGTTCTGGCAACGATGCACAGGAGCATTAAGGAAGCACATCCCATGATATCTAATCCCCACCCCTTCCCAGCTTCCCACATCCTGGCTGGGAGTACGGGGTACCCTGGACCCCACCCACTTGCTTAACCTGCCCTTTCGGACTCTGTGTCAACATCTGGACACAGTGGGGTCACCCCGGAATGGTGTTGGCCCTGGTACCTTGATTCCCTTCCCATTGAGTGGGAACACAGCAAGTGGGGAGCTGGGCGGACTTACAACGCCTCCTCAGAGGCCCATAGGCACAGCCAGGAGTCTTGCCTGGAAAGGAAGAATTAATGGTACAAATTCAATCTAGTATAACAACAGTGCACTGTGGTAACTGTCATAGTTCTAAACTAGAACACATGTAATCGTCACAATCACCAATAATAATCAGTTCGCTGATTACTATTATCCTTGCTGTAAAGATGAGAGTAAGGCACACAGTAGTTGAATAACTTGCCCAAGGCCTCACACAATCAGGTCCATCCCTATGGCCCAACCACTCCCCTCACTAGAACCCAGCAGGTGTCGGGGCCTTAGCCTAGGCTGTAGCTACTGTCAGGCTGTAGCTACATAGCCTAGGCTGTAGCTACTGTTCTTTCAACCTCTGATCACCCAACCCTTGGTTCTCACTTGTCATCTTGGCCTCTGTGTTATGCCTTTTCACTGTACCACAGAGATTGTGCCTTCCCTATACATCCTGGAGGACAAGAAACACATTTGTCCTGCTTTCTTCAGCATCTCTACTACCTTGAACAACACTGCTGTGCACAAAGCATGGGCTCAATGAATGTCTGCCAGTTGAATGAATAAATGATTGAATAAATTAACGAAGAGGTGGTAGAGCCAGTACTCAAGCCCAGTTGTGGATATATACCAAAAATAAAACAAAACAAAAAACAAATCTACTGTTACCAAGTCGATTCCAACTTACAGAGACTCTATAGAACTGTTCTCTGGGGTTTTTGAGACTGCAAATCTTTATAGGAGTAGACAACCTCATCTTTTCCCCTCCGAGCAGTGGGTTCAAACTGCTGGTCTTATGGTTAGCTGCACAACGCATAACCCATTATAGCACCCTGTGGTTCTGATGCAGCAGGAAGAGTGTTTCCATTGAGACTAGGGCTCCTCTAACCCTAACATACAGAACGTACTCTGCTGGGATTTGTGAGAAGCAAAGCCCACAACTGCATCTAACAGACCCGCTGCCTCCTGCCTCATTCTCTACCCTGGATGCACTGGCTGCCACCAGTCCTTTCCTTGTCTCCTCCTCTGGGATTTGCTGCCTCCCTTCCACATCCCCAGCTGACTTGACCTCCGTGGCTGTGGCAGGAAACTGGGATGACCTCATGGGGCCACAGAAGTCCATCCCCACCCACTTAAAATTCAGTTCGTCATGACATACTGGCCAGGTGTAGAGATGAGCTAGGCAACCAAGGAGGTGAAGGTTCAAGTCTCCTCCTTATGTACACATTGTGGGGCACACCCAAGTTGCCTATAAGGTCCCAATAGTTTCTCTGAAGTCCTCCTAGCCCCCACCCGCAATAGGGTCTGTACCCCACCCTGGAAGTAGCAATTCCTTGTCCTCAACATTAGGAGTGGGGGTCAGTCCCTAAAACCTTTTGCAAATCCAGATACCAGTGTGTGCTTTGCAGAGGCACTCATGTGCCCACCCAGCTAAGTGATGGCAAGGGGTACTCACTGCCTCAGTGAGTTTCTCTGAGGTTCCAGCTCAGCCCTCTCAGTCCTCTGTCTTTCAGCTCCTGGAGTTCCCAATTCCCCAACCCCTATTTGGGTTTGGGGAGCTCTCACAAGGCACCCTGAACCTTTTCCCACATCAACAGGACTTCAACTCCTACCCCAAGGACCTGTTTGCCAAAACTGGTCCTACATCCCATACTGTGGTGATTGTGTGCTGTGGAGTCGGAACCAACTCATAGCGACCCTGTACAGGGTTTCCGAGGCTGTAAATCTTTACAGGAGCAGAAAGCCTCATTTTTCTCTTGTGGAACAGCTGGTAGTTTCGAACTGTTGACCTTGCAGTTCGCAGCCCAATTCGTAACCACTACGCTACCAGGGCTCCTTTTTACTAGCTGCCTTAAATCTTTCTTTCCTAGGAGCCAAGGACATCCTAGAAGTCAATACAGGGTTCAGACAGGAACCCTGACTCCACCCTCTCAACCTGATCTCAGGGCAATAGCTAAAGGCTGAGTCACAAGGGTCACTGTGGCAGACTAGACACAGGGTCAACGCCCCACACTTCCACACACAGCTTCCAAACCTTTGCTTTGGGACTTGAGCCTCTCCCATCTCCCACTCAGACAATGAAAAGGGGGAATCCCAGAAACCCCTTCCCCAATACAGATCCACACCAGCCCTTGGGTCTTTCCACTGGTGACCCTGTGGCCCTGTCCCATTCCAGGGGTGGACTACAGCAAGAGAACAGTAGAGGGCACCCCCCCACACACACTCAGAGGCGGGCCCAGCAGGTTTTTCAGGTCTGCCCTTCTGACACCATCTGTGAGAAAGAAATTCCTGGCTGTAATGACTGTTTACAACCAAGATATCTCACCTGGGTGGCACCCAACACCTTCAATGGGTCCCCCTTTTCCACATCCTGCTACCCATTGGAGTGAATACAAACTCTCAATGTCAGGGACTTTTCCCTACCCTCACCTAGAGCTCCCTTCCCTCCACTCTTGGCGAACAAATGTAAGGCAGGCAGGCAGGTACCTGGAAACCGTTTCCCAACCAAGCCCAGTCTGGGCTTTTAGGGGGTCTAGGCCCTGGGTTGGGAAGGGTGAGAAGAAGTTGAGGAGGCTGGAGTGGGGGGTGGTGGTGTTCATGCTTCTTGTCCTGATTAGGTCTTCCCTCATCCCTCCCCTTCATTTACTTGTGGCCAAGGCTTGGCTACACGCAGCAAAAGGAAGTCCAACGTTTTTGGCTTCACCCCCACCGCTATGACCACTGACCCCACCCCAGCTCTCCACTCAGGCCCAGCAGTACGGACGTGGCCTGCTCCTGTTGGGGAGCTTTGGCTCACTCTACCCAGTTCTCCCGATGCCCTCCTTCCTCTTCTCCTCTACTACCACCCACTGCGCCCAGGTGCTCACCAATGCCAGACGGGAGTTTGGGGGGAGGCCTCAGTTACCCCAAGTAAACAGTTGCTCCACAAGGTCCTGGCTGCAGCTGGTGGTGGCTGGTGGCAGTGACTGCGAATAATGCTTCAGCCAGCCGCCTCCCAGTAGGGAATGGCCCTGCCTACCTGACCTGGGACTGGGCCAGCCCACACCCTTTAACCCTTCCCTGGTTGCCACATTGGAGAACGCCACTTCTGGGGGGAAGTCTTGTAGCCAGGTCCCCTCAGGGTACCGGGTAAGGGCAAGAAGGGAGCCTGGAACTCCCTCTCTGCATACAGGTGGGATCAAAAATAAAAACCTTAAGAAAACTCACTGCTGTTGAGTGAATTCCGACTCCTAATGGCTCTATAACATGCAATTGAGTTTTCTTAAAGGGTTTCCAGGGTTGTGGTGCTGTACGTTAATGCACCAGACTACAAAGCCATTTGAACTGCAAGGTCGGTGGTTCAAGCTCACCAGCTTATCCGCGGAAACCCTATACAGGGTCAGAACTGACTCTACGACGGCACTTAACAACAACGAATCTTTACAGAAGCAGACTGTCCCATCTTTTTCCTTTGGAGCAGCTGGTAGGTTCAGATCACCGACATTTTGGTTTGTACCTAAGGATTTAACCACTGCACCACCAGGGCTCCAGCTGGGACATGAGTACGGGGAAAGAAAGGCTAAGAGTTGTGAGAGTGGCGACTTCCTCTCCTGCTGCCCAAATTCCCCCAAGGATTAGATTCTGCCCATCCAAGAGTATGAATATGGAGTTGGGGGCTTAGAGGGCGGGGGACTTGTTAAGCACATGGGTGACCTCGAGTATAAATCAGGTTTGTGGTTCTAGCAGGGTGCATTACATTCCTGAGCCCTCCTACACTTTCCTCCAGGACAAGGTAGAGGTACTAGAAGGTCATAGAGCAATTCCCAGTCTCATAGGTCATAAGGCAATTCCCACTCTCATCAGGGTAATAGTTTCCCAAGTTGGAAACAGAGGAGGTTGATCTTCCTTAGGAGAATCGGGGTCTTGAAACCCACCACCTTCTGCAGTTCCCAAAGAAATAAACCCAGTAAACCGACCACAATTTAGACTCTACAAAAACACTGTGATACATTTTAATTCCTCTTGGTCCCTATAAACCTGGATAACACAGATCCAGGCTCTTCATAGGCATGTTACAGTTGGGGAAGCTGAGGCTTGGAAGGTGAAAAGGGCTGATTCAGATTACGGTAGAATCAGAACTCCAGGGTGTGGGGTGGGGTGGGCTCATGATTGTTTATATTCAGGCTAGGCCTTCCCCATTATCCCCCTAATGTTTTTCTGGCCAGGAGTCCGCTTCATGCCAGATAAGGAAATTGGCTCTGGGTCCCTATGATGTTGCCTCCCTCCATAGCACCACCACTCCAGGCCTGCTGCAGCATATACCACACATCCTGCTCTAGATTTGGAACCATCTGCTCTGTGACCTCAGGGTCTGGGCCTAACCCTGGTCCTTGCTGCAGCCCACACCATGATGAGAAATAGCAGAGTAAAGCCAACTCCCTCCTCATTTAGAGGGTGGGACAGGCCTCGGCCAGGGCTCTCTCTATATGTGCTTTAACCGAGCCTCCCACCAGCTATTCTGTCTACCTTTCTCCCTGGGTGTAGGATTTCCAGCATGGACACAAAGGCCCCTTTCATCTGCTACCATCCCTCCCCTTCGCCCTTCCTTCCCTGTCTGGGGCTAGTGGAGGCTGACAGCAGTGGGTAGGCAACTATGTGTTAGTAGGGAGTGTCCTCTCAGTTATGGCCTCTCCTGCCTCTTGTGAGCCACCAAGGATGTCGGGAAGAAAGATGTTGTCCGAATCAAAGCCATGCGGGACAAGAGAACTGTCTCAAGGTCTCAGTTTCCTTATCTGTAAAATGGGTAAAAGGTGGTTACAGAGATAACAGATGCCAAAGTAATTTTGGAAAGCATCTCAAAGTACAAGGAAACTCACACTATGTCATTAATGACTGTAAACAGTACAAGTCCTGGTATGGTGCTGGGGGTTAATGCGCTGGACTGCAAAATCGGTTTGAACTGCAAGGTTGGTAGTTCAAGCTCACCAGCCACTGCTTGGAAACCCTATACAGGGCCCCTATGGGTAGGAATGGACATGACGGCACTTAACAACAGCAACAACAACAGAAAAAAAAATTAATTCACAGAGATGAGCTTGTGCTGGGGCCAGGGAAGGACAGGTAACTGGACCTTCTGGTTCAGGAACACAGGCAGGGCAGGGGCACTCACTGACCTATGACTTTGAACAATCTAGAAGCTAGCATCACCTCCAGGCCCCTCCCGAGCCAGGCCCTGAGCCTCCGATGGTCCTACATGGCTTTTAAGTAGTAGGATTCAACTAGATCTTTCTACTTATTGGATGTGTGGCTGATTAGACAAGTCATGTAACCTCTTTCTACCTCAGCTATTAAATGGAGATGATGATAACAGTGTGGACCACACAGGTTTTTTGGGGAAACATTAAACGTGTTAATAAATTTAAAGCTTGCTTAAGAAAGGGCCTGGCATACAGGCCTCAATATGTGTTGGCTGTCACAATTGCAAGTATTCCTCCCTGTGTGAACTCGGGAATCAAAGACACATACTTTTTCTTGAGACAGAATTGGTATCCACACCTCACCAGATAAATCTGAAACAGCTCTTTTCCCTCAGATAGCTTGTGTAAACTTTCGCTATCCAAAATCAGGAACCTGATGGATTCAGGTACATTTTTAAAACAGAGCTAGTATCCCTCATTCTCCAAATCCTTTCTACTTATTACCCAGACAATAAACCCTTCCTATTTTCAAACCGGATAAATTTAACACGGAGCTATTTCCCCTCATTATTCAACCTTTCAGTATAAAAAATGCTGGAACCAAATCTTCAGATAAATTGTCTGAACTCTCACTAACGAAATTCAGCAACTGAATAGATATAGATACGTCTGAGATACAGTTGGTAACCCTCACGCTCTGAGCTTTCCTTACTCACCAGGCAAAATGCAGGAACCAAATAAGTTTATACAACACTGTCTTTAGCAATCCTCTTGCTAATGGAACTCAGCCAAGTGTATAGATTTGAATACATTTTTGAGTTAGTCTTTTGTTGTTTAAGTGCCATTGAGTCAATTTCTACTTATAGTGATCCTGTATAGGGTTTCCAAGGCTGCAACTCTTTGCAGGAGCAGAAAGCCTCATCTTTCCCCTGTGGAGCGGCTGGTGGGCTCAAAGTTCCGACCTTGTGGTTCACAGTACAGTGTTTGCTCTACAGAGCCTTATCCTTTATTAGCTGAACTTTCTCTACCTATTCTGTAAAATGCAGACACCAAATACTTTCAGATAACTTGTGGTATCTTTCACTGCCTGAATGATCCTAACAGTCAGAATGCTTCTCAGAACTCAAAGTACCAAGTAGAATGCTTATGGTGGTGACAGGTTGGATAAATGTTTTGGCTAAATGAGATGGGTCTGGTAGCCCTCATTATTCAAATTCTCACTATGTGAAATGCAAGAACAAATTGTAATTGAGTAACACATTACTTCCTCACCAAATTCTCCTAGTCTGTCCTCAGAAACAAGGGATCCTCATGTTTAATACTGTTGTTATAATTACTACCTAATGGGCTCATTCTAACACCCAGTGACTCCACCCCTCCCCCTATTTCACAGAGGTAGGGTAGACTTAGCACAAAGAGAAGAGGGTTTAAACCTCTCCCCCCAGCCCCCATCAAGCCCTGAATCCTCTGGCCCAGAATAGACTTTTCTCCAGGCAGCAAAGCACAGACTACACACACAGAATCAAGACCAGAGGATGGGGTAACATAACATGGAAGAGTCACACATATTCCTGGGTCCCCTGACCCCACATTCTTACTCAACCCCTTGACATAGGACAGCCCCCAACTTAGTAAGGCTGGAAACACGACCTGAAACTCACAGACTCCCAGAGAGCCACTAAATAATTTAGGGTGTTCTTTCACACTTGAGGAAGGGGGAGGTACAAGAACAGTTTCATGCCCTCCTGGAGTAGAGAGAGAAATGTAAGCTCTGCGTGAGATCACTGGGGTAGGAAGAAAAATCACATACAAAAATCTACCACACACCTCAGGCAGCTGTAGGTCATGGAATAGGCAGAATAGAAGTTCATTCTCCCCTTTTGTTAAGAGAAGCACTTGGGATTCACTTCAAAGGTCTTGGGATCCGGGAGCCTCCTAGTTCCAGGGCAAGATATAATGGGACCCCCGGGTGTTAGGAAGGAAGGAGATCTGAATTGAGTGGAGGGACAAGGTAAGGGGCTGAACAGGGGCCCAGGGGTGGGACAAGATGAGGAAACAGGGCAGGAAGAAATGTAGAAGACAAGAATCAGAGTCGTAATGGGATGGAGGTTAGTAGGTAGGACAAGGAATGAGGCAGAACACAGGCCAGGGAATGGGATGGAGTGAGATTCAAGACAGGGGTCAGAGACAAAGCCAAAGAAGGGGACAAAACTGCAGGGAAGGCATCAGGAGCAGTATAGAACAGCAGTCAGAGAACATGATAGATGAGGATTGGATTTAGGGGGACAAAACAGGAGTTAAGGAGTACATCAGATCAGAATATGACTAAATCAGGGATCAAGAAGGAGGTCCTGGTTCAATGACTGGCCAGGGTTTGAGCTAAAAATATATATATACTCAGGTCAAGCAGGAGTCGAGAGTGAAAACACAGGTCAGAGGTGGCGGGTGCGAGCGCGCGCAGGTACGTCTGCCATCACCATTTCATGGCCCTCACCCCGCCCTATTCCCTCCCTTCCTCCCTGGAGGGAGTTGTTACTCACCAAGGGTTGTTGTACCACTGCGTAGGCTTGGTCAGTGTAGGCTAGGAGGGGTGGTGGGTGCGCCCCTGCGTCACGGTCCCCTGCTTGTCCTCAGGCGCGTGCCCACTCCCCTTCCGAGCCCTGCCCCTGGGCCGCGTGCGCAGCGCGAACGATAGCCGTGGGGGGCAAACGGGGGACTTGAGGAGGGTGAAAGAAGCACCTGGCTCCGCCGCTGGCTGTGAAGCCCCG